ATTCGTTGTTTTTTCTTGAATCATTTTTGTTATGTATTGATCGAATTATTATACGTTTTTTTCGGCAATATTTCATTTTCTTTATTTTCACTGTTCTTCCAACTCATGTTATTATCTGTTTTTATTGTATTCCATAATATTTCAAGCTCTTCCAACACAAAACAACTAGTTATCTTGTCGTTCGAGGAAAGAGAATAATAAATTTTATCCAATTGTTTGAAGAAATCCAAAAGCTTTGAAAGATCTTCCCATTGTTTTATTGAAATTGGATTTTTTTGTTTTGTTTCATTTATAGATTTTTTCATTTTTATCGCTCTGTCAATAACTTTGAATACAGTGCCAAACCGCGTCACTACAAACGTTGATGGTGTGCTATCCGTTTCGCCGTTTCTGGAACACGCGTTTATAAGATTTTCCTTGGTTACATGTGACACTTGGACTGCTTTAGAAAGTTGATTTAATAACTTTAAAACAACTTTTAACTCGGGAATTGCTTTTAACAAATCAACAAAAATCAAATTGACACAATGAACAATACAGTCCAATTTTAAGCCGCATATTGTATCAAGTTGCCTATTATTTGCACAACTATCAGCAACCACTGCGATCAAAGACTTGGATATTTTAAACTCCTTTACTATTTTTTCAGTTTGTTTGTGTATATTTGCACCTGTGTGTTGTTGGTTAAAAACGCAAATATCAATGACTTCATTGTGGCATTTAAAATCAAAATTCAGATAGTGCATTGTTATTGTCGAATACGAATTACTAAATCTTGTCATCACATCAGTTGAAATTGAATAATAAAATGAACCTGTGGATTGCAACTTCAATACATTTTCTTTCATTAAAGTGTATTCTTCTTGATACACTTTATTAAGACAGCCTGTTCTAAACAACGTGAAACGACAAAGACGTATGTTCGGATTTAAAAATTGAAAAAGTCTTATCAGATATTCGTTTTCAATTTGACACAAAGATATTCCAGCAGTAATAAAGAATTTGAATAGTAACATGTTGACTTTTTTAGAAATGTCATTGAAAAGCTGAACACTGAACTGTAGTCAAGGTCTACAATTCCAATTGTTGTCTCGTGTTGGGTATACAAATGCTTAATAAGTGACGATGTTGATTTATCTTCGGAATATAAATGTAGCCATTCTTTTTTACTTTTTTGACATATCTTGCATATACAATATGTGCCACATTTTGAACATTTTAACTCTTCATCATTGTTCAAGTGTTTTTGGCATTTGAATGGTTTTTTTATAAAATACTTCCACACAAATGAAGACATTTTGATTATTTAGTTTAAGTGTATTTCATTGACATTTTAAAGAGTTTTTAAATATTATTAAATAATTATAATAGTTAATTGTTTCGAATGTAATTATTTTTATTTGAAAAGAAATATCATTGGTTCAATTCAAAAACAGAATGAATTATTATTTTTTTTATAAAAATATACAAAAAATCAAATGGTATGTGGTGAGTTGTTAACTTTATAATAATTATGCTTGAAATATTTTTTTGTTTAAAAAGAGCAATCAACGATTAAAAAAACGTTTAATACAAATATTATAAAAAACAAATAATTATTTTGTTGTTGACAATTAATCATATGTTTTTCCAGTTTTTTTTCAATACCTTTTTGATTTCTAATTTGTTTTTTTCCCATTTTTATTTTTATAGTTAAAACGTGTCATATTTAAGACATTTTTTAGTCGTTTTTTGCCAAAAATTATTTGTTTTATTTAAAATGACAGAAATGTAATTTTGGTATACAGTTT